ATGACCACAAGCTACGTATAGCAAAGGCTGTTTAATTTGCAAACTGGTGCAATTGTTAGAATTTTTTTTTCTTATATCAACCTCAAATCTCTCAGCAATTAATGTCTTCTCTTTAGAGTTCAGTGCTCTCAAGTACAGCACAGAAAAGTTTTTCCATCTTCTGTGTCATTTACTTGACCAGAGCCACCACACTCTACTTTCTCCATCCCTGCTGTGGGCTAAACTCCAGGCCCCTGTAATGCTGTGCTCAGATTCCTCACCAGAGTGGCAAACGGTATAAGCAAGACAGAGGATTCTTGATGTAGCACTCTTTCGGTGAAAGGAGTCTAGGGGCACTTTTTTAAGGAATCATATCACACTGAGGCTCACACTGAAGTTACGGTCAATTAACTGCCTTTCACGTGGCCTGGCCAAGTTTTTCCATTGCTGCTTTTCTGCAATGATCATTAAAACAACTATACCAAGATCACTCAGTCCATTGGGATTTATGTTCCTCTCTTGTCAAATTTCATCTTACTGATTTTGGACCCTCATAGAGCCAAAGATACTTTTGGATCTCAATTCTGTCATTTGCCATAATACATCTTCATTTCACATCACTAATAATGCTGACTGGGTGACAGCTAGTGACAGAGTCCTGAGAGGCCCCTGTCTCCTTTCTTCTGGGTCCCGTGACCATTAATCAACACTTCTGGTTTGAGATCATATGACAGTGGACTGACTACAGAATCTACTCAACTGTACTTTTGTCTATGACTTCTACATGCACTCTGTCTGTGGCTTGTGTACCTTGTGTACCTTGTTGCCTTGTGTACCATGGACCTCTTTGGGGATTAAGAGTTCTGGGATTAAGGCAGAAGGAAATCCATTCATCTCCTGGGCTTGGGGCTGGCTGAACCGGAAATGAATCCAAGCTGGAACACCCCATCTCTTGGTCATACCTGGTCATCTCTTGGAGGGAACAGGGTATCTTCCTGCTATGTACAATCTATAGAGTGACAATGAGAGTCATGTGCTAGGCATGCCATTTTGATGGGCAGCTAGAAACAGGTACAGACACCTGGACAGAAAGTTTCTAAAGGAAAATTTCTGACCAAGAGAAGCAGATTCTCTGAGAAACTGCTTTCTTCCAGAGAGTACTGGGGAGTTTAGAAGGAAAAAGTTTCTTGAATATAAACTTCTGTATTTCAAGAAAATTAAAGTTTATTTCTGGAATAAATAAATAGTGATGCGAGTTATATTTCTGCCAGTAAATACTTTAATTTTCCTAAGGAGGTGGCATCTGCATACACATTTTTAAAAGATCCTCCCAGCTCCTTGGAAGAAAGGCTGCTACTGAGGACTTTTCCTGCCAAGGGTACAAGCCTGCCATCTAGTGGTGACTCCTGCAAACTGGACGCGGTTGATCTCCGTAAGAGCATTTTCACGGTTTTGTGTGTTTTTTATAAAGCAACAAGTTCCTTTTAGTTATATATTATTATCTCTCTCTCTCTCTCTCTCTCTCTCTCACACACACACACACACACACACACACATACTGGTTCTGCACATAAGTGCAGTTGGGGAAACACTGCACTTTGTCTCCTCATTCAGTGACATTTAGACTGAAGCCCATGTGAATCCTCCATGTAATGAATGAGGAATGGCTTGGACCTGTCATGTTGGATCTGTCCTCTAGTCTGGGAAGAAGTGTCACTCATTGACTCATTCTTTCATCTCATCCACCCTCTCATTCCACTGGTCACTCATCAATATGATCATTAAGCTCCAGGCCTGACAAAGAAAAAGAACCATGGAAAATCACTGGCAGGATTAACTTGTGACATCAAAAACCAAGGCAAAATGAAACAAAAACCTAGTAATGATACAATCATAAAATTATAGGGTTATTTATATTGGGTCAATTCCCAGTTCTCACCCCAAATGTGGCTGGAAACATCACTGTACATCAAATCATGTTTTCTCATTAAAAGGCTTTGATAAATACTTAGACGTGAATAGATCAAAATAGGTTCTTAAGGCTAAGCTACAACATTTTTATAGAGTTCTGTAAGAATTAAAAATAAAAAAATTTTGAAAGTTCTATATGTATAATACCATATAAAGTGAAATCTATAGCTGAGTTAGGAATTTAAGAATAATACTTATAACAATCATTAAACACTTAACTAGCAAAAATCTTGTTAGCAGTCCAACAATTTAGGCTTTTTTGAGGTCCCTTTAATAAAAGAGTAATGCAAAGTGTGTTGTGAGGCCTTTTTATTTATTTGGTAAGTTTATTTATTTGGGAGTAAAAAGATGGATTCAAAGTCTTTACATTAAATTTGTCATAGCATTTTTCAAAAATGGCCTATAGCTCTACATTTTGCCAGGAGATGCCAAATCCACACATGGGTAAATAGTAAAATTTTAAAAGCAATGTCAAAAAAGATGGAAGATGATTTTTACAACATACAATTTATCGTGAAACAGTTTTATTTTTAGGAGTAATTTAATTTTTACTACAAATAAATGGGGAATAAAAATGAAGGAAGCTAATAGTGCCGTATTATCTCTTTATCTTCATAAAATCCCCTTAAAGGAGGCTCAAAGGAGTTAAGAAACTTGTTCAAGGTCATAGGACTAGCCAGTCGAATTCTGAGGAAAGCACTTGGTTTTGAACTTTGGTCCATCTGACTATAAATCCTCAGTATGTGAATGTGCCTCCCATGATGATTCTCTCTTATTTCCACACAAAGGTCAACAGAATGTGACATTAACAGAAGTCCCAAGTTCAGTTAGTGACGTCATCCTAATTTTGTTAAGCTTATTTTATTCTTCTACCTATTTTATACTATAAATAGATTTATCCCTGCAAAACTCACCAAACTTTACTACTCTCTGAGAGTAAAAAATTCCTCTACTAGAGAAGCAGAATTACTTCTGCTTCTATATTAAATCTAGACTGCAAATGACTCCAATGGCATGTGTGTATTTCATATTCTTACATTGGAAAAGAAAGGAAAAAAGGAGTGAACTTTTTTTCTTTTTGAGTAATTTAGAAAGTAGAACACTAGAATGAGCACAGTACTTTCACGGTGTCCTGCAAATTGTAAGTTTAGAGAAAGAACGCTGCTAAGTAATCATTTATGGCATTTACAGAAATCAATAATGCTCTGGTGAGAAGCAAGTGAACGATGTCACACAAAAGCAAACTGCTGAGGGGGGAAGGGAAACGAAACTTTAATTTTCAATCACGGAATTTTCAGGGTTTAGAGAAGTTTTGAAACAAAGGCTCAGTTGTGAGTCTGTTCCCACGAGCCCATCCTACATAATTCAGGACACAGGAGTAATGAATGCAGACAAGAGAAAATTGCTGCAGTTTACGGAGGCAACTATGCAGAAGAGAATGTTCAGGCTACTGCGGAGATGTGGAATTTGAGGTGCAATTAAGTCAGAACTCCGTCGATTGACCTCAGCTGCCTTCCTTAGCCAGTAGCTACAAGCTTACAAACATAATTGCAATTAACTAACTGCTTGCATATTTATTTCTTGCATGCCGATTTAGCCTACTTGAATGTCACCTCGATGAAGGCCTGTCTCTCCGTCCCCTGGCACAGAGCAAGCACACAATAAATATCCCTAGTTCACAGCTTCACGGGGTCTAGTGGTTAAAAGCTTAGGCTTTGGAGTAGGACAGAGCTAGGTGGAGATCTTAGTTCCTCCACATGTGAGTTATAAATGGCTCTAGACAGGTCTTTGAACTTCTAGGGACTTAGTTTCCTTACCAGTGAAATGGGACAGTAACACAACTAACCCACATGGCCGTTGAGAGGATTAAATGAGAGAATGAGTGAAAAGCGCAGGGCAAGCACACGGGTGGGTCTCCATTACAGCAGATGTCCCCAGACTTTTTTGTGCGGTGGGAGTTGGGTGGCTCATCTGCTGCTAGACTTGAATGCTCATTCGGGTCATGGGGCAGAGGGTGGGGGAGGTGGGGAGGGAGCGGGGAGCTTGTTTCAATGAAGATCTGTACCCTGTCACCAGTCACCAGATTCTGATTTGCTAGGGCTACAGGGAGGCTCAGAAATTTGCATTTTTAACAGGCATCTGGGAGTAGTTCAGATGCAGGGAGTCTTTGGACCACCCTCGGAGAAACACTGCTTTATAAAGAGAATCCGCAATTCCCAGATTTCTGAAGAGATGAACAAACTAACAGTAATATATAATACATGACTCTTGGGCCCAGATAATGAAAGTAAAAGAACTAGTATCTTG